ATAAAAAAACTCCCAACCAAAAAAAGCCCTGGCCCAGATGGCTTCACTGGAGAATTCTACAAAACATTCACAGAAGAGCTTGTACCAGTTCTACTCAAGTATACCCCTCCTCCTGCATTCCCACTGCCCCTTCCCTAGTTCAGGACCCATAATTTCTCACCTGGACTCTTGTAACAGACTGCTCACAAGGCTTCTTCCCTCTAGTCTCTCACCATCCAATCCAACTTCTCCTTCCCCACCAGGAGTTGGAGTGGTCTTTCAGTCACATATCTGGCTATATCACTATCCTGCTTAACACCTTTCAGAGAATCCCCTACTCTTAGGATAATGTCCAAGACCCCTAGTGTGGCCCACCAGGCCAGCCTGACACCTGACCCCCTCTGCCTCTCCACTTTGTTTGCTGTGCCCTGTCCCACCTTACACACTAGCTATAGGCAGCTACTGCCCAGTCCTGGGCCTAATGTCTGGAAGGCCCTTTCCCTACAAGCCTGTTGCCACTTACTCTCTTATAGACCTTGGGTCAAGGGTTCCTCCTCTTGAAGCCTTCCCTGAACCCCACCTTCACCTGCTACACTGTCTAGCCTGGATTTCATCCTTCTCTGGACCCTGGGGGCCCCTCTGTACCTGGGGGGTTATCCTCTGTACACAGTGAAGCTGGCAGCAGCCGCAGCTCCATGACGGCATCAGCCAGGGCCTGGCGAGCTGCTCCTTGGAGCTTTTCCTCCAGCTGCACAATACTTATGTTTCCCTTTTCCCACACATCCAACCGAAGTCGTGGGGCCCCACTCTGAGCTGGAGGCAAGAATGCAGGTCACTTGAGGGCGCCCCTAGATTCCACCCTACTCACCACCCCTGCTTCTCACAGCATTAACTCAACACCCCATCCTCTGACAGAAGCTGCCTCACCTGAAGAACCGTCCAGCATGACTGGGCAGCATGTGACCTGGGTTAGCTGCTCAAACTCCTCCTCTTGCAGTGGGTCTGGGGGCCCAGGAGAAGTGGGGGGCCATGATGCCAGTGAGATGGGGGTCCCTCCCTCATCCACAAAGGCTAGAGTGATGCAGGCGACTCCTGGGTAGAAAAAAATCCACAGGAAGGCTCAGCCCCAGGACTTCAGATCCTCCTTCCTCACCCCCTCAGCTGCAAGGCTGGGAGAGGCCCTCTTAGTCACAAGATAGGAAAAGCCTTTCTCACACCTGGTGGTGCCATGGGCCTCGGCCCTGATCTGTACCTTTGCCCCCAGTGCCCTGTCCACCAGGCTTGTTATACAAGTAGATGTCCAAGTCGGGGAGGCCGCCTTGTGGTGGGAGTGGATGCTGGGAAGAGAACAGCCACAAATGAACAACAACAAAAAAATCAAGGGATGGGGAAGCTTTTATGGTGTGTACGTCCACAGTAGGGAATGGGGTACAGGTAATATAGCAGCATAGGAAGACAGAGATGTGTGGGGCACGGGTATATACAAGTCCTTGGACAAAGATGCATATGGGGGTATCTGTAGGAAACAGTCACATAAGGGGGTGTGTGAGGGAGGGGAGGGAGGCACGAGTGCACAAGGGTGTGGGGAGAGGTGAGTAAAATCTCACTTGGAAGTGGTTCCGGCTATTGCTGTCTGTGTACTTGGGAGAGTGCAGGAAGATGAGCAGGTTCTGCCGCAGGTACCAGGCCAGGGCAGGAAGCCAGGCCCTGCAGGAGGGGGGCAGGGCCAGATGCAGCACCTCAGAGGGGAGGCTTCCAGGGGGCTGGATGAACTGCAGAGAATGGGAAAAGGTAGTCAGAGCTGAATGCCAAGGCTTCAGCCTAGACTGTCCCTAACACCTGTGGCTGAGCCTTGGAGGGAGCTTACCTCCACATCAGCTGGTGTCAACTTGCAGTTCCGAACAAGCATGACTGTGATGACATCCAGCGTGGCCTCATCCAGGCGCCGACGCAGTACCCGTACTAGTTCATCTGTGATCTCGGGACCTTGACACAGCCATGGTGAGAAGGTGGAGAAGCTGGCAAAGGATCCAGCTACCACCTCCACCAGCACTTAAACCCCAGCGTCAAACCCCGTCTGCCCCTCCGCCCCACCTGCCATATACTGGAGGCAGCCAGCACTGGGTTCTAGTTCTGCCAACCTACTCATTGTGTGACTGTGGAGAAGTGAATTTTACCCTCAAAGCCTCAGTGCCTTTGTCCATAAAATGGGAAAAATAGCATCATTCTCATAGGTTTGTTGTAAGGATTAAAAGAGGGGTTATGTAATAGTCTTAGCCCAAAGCCTGATACACATTAAGTGAGCCATAAATATTAGCTGAAAAACCCAACTGTCTACTGGATACCACATGCTTAATATATTCAAAACTGAACCCAGTATCTTCAACCCAAGCTCACTCCTGGTACCAGGTGAACAGGACCACCATCTAGCCACACAGTCACCCAGGCTAGATAACCCAGGTGCCAATCTTAATGGCCCCTCTTCCCCAAGGTGCATTTCAATCAGCTACAAGTCCTACCCCTAAACATCACAAGAGTCTGTCCTTTCCCACCCAGCTCCTGCTTGAGAAGAGCCCAGAGTGCAGCATGAATTGGAGAACGGGACCCAAGGCAGAGTAGTAAGAAGGCTCTAAGAGAAGCTGCCAGAGGATTCTGGAACCTCACCTGGTCACCCCCACATACCTCCCCCTCCTGGCAGTCCTCACCTGCCTGCCCTACACCATGTACCAGCAGCTGGATGTGTCTGTCCACTTGGCCCACAGGACGAGCAGCATCTGAACTGCGGCTGGAGGCCATGTCCAGGGGAGAACGAGGACCCTACAGGGAAAACATGGTCAGAGTCCACTCCAGGGAGCAAAGTATGAGGGGAGCACGGGGCCATGAGGGAGGAAGTGATACATGCCGAGGCCTCGTCAGGGAAGATGGGCTCCTGGCTCCGGGACAGGGCGAGAGATGGGGGCCCAGCATCCCCTTCCCATGGCCGGTCACTGCAGGATGTCTCTAGGAGCCTGTCAGAGAGCGGCAAGGTCTTTGTACATGCTTCCTCCCATGCCATCCTTGACTCATGCTTTACCCCACCCTCTGAGAACCCACATACCGAAGATAGTATACAGCCTGTGTTGCTCGCTCCTGATAGACAAACATATTCTTCCGGTTCACCACAGAGAAGGCATTGAGCACAGAGCGCAGGGCCTGGATGGCTGCAGGAGTACTGTGGGCTCAGGAAGCTCCCTTCTCCAGATTCCCCCAGTGCCCACTCCACCTGCCCTCTCCTCATGCCAATCACATACCCCGAGAAACTCCCATGCTGGGCCCCATCTTGAGGCGTGAGTGGACTCGGATCACAGTTCCCCACACAACGTCACAGGAGAAATGTCCAGGGACAAACTGCATTGTGGCTGCTAGGTACCCTCGGGGTGCACAGCTCTCATCAGCAGCATAATCTGGGGGAAGGAAGAGCAAGACTCAAAATCAGGACACCCAGCCCTCTGCCCTCTAGACTTCTCACCTGTACACTGGCCCACTCCTCCACACTCCCCCAGCCTCCTCATACCTGTCTACTACTCTGCAAGGCAAAGATTATCGTCTGGATAACAAGACAGGACCAGGACTTAGAGGAATGGCCTTTAAAAGACAGGGTTGTAAGGACAAAGGTTTTCAGAACTATCTCAAGGTGACTTGGAGAAGGAGCAAAGAAGGGAAGTCAGGAATGCTAAGTGTGAGAAAATCCTGAAGGCCATTCCATGAGATTCTGACCCTGTTGTAACCCATGTCTGTGGCACTAGTAGACTGTGTCCTGAACTGGTCACACACATCAAGAGGAGAAGGCTGAGTTCTGTGCCTCAGAGGACAGTTATCCCAAAGAACAAAGGGTGGTGTGGTGGCACACAAAAGCCCATGGCCATAGGCCAGTGTCTTCTACCTTTCCCAGGTTTCCAGGTTGACAAGGAACCTTTCAGTAGGTCAGAGGTGGCAATTTGGTTTCCCAGAGAAGCTGCTGTCAGGTGTGAGCAGCCTACGAGACACCCAGGAGGCTGCAGAGTTTCTGTGCCATGATGGGATGTTGGTTGCTAAGGGTGTCAGGGAAACCATATGGAGACAAATGAGGAAGGGCTGTGTCTGTGTTCTGACTGGTCTCACATCTCAGGCTGCTGGAAGTCATCTTTAAGTAAAAGTGCCTGGCTGCCCTAGCTCATCTTCAATTTGTAGAAGATGCCTTCAAAACCATGGGAAGTCCACTAATTACAGGGACCCTGCTCTAATATGGAGAACATCCCAGGACATGCTGAGAGAGGCACGCTCCTGGAAATGTTAAAAATGTTCATCTATAGACTTGCCGAGAATGTTAAAAATAAGGAGTGGTCTGATTTCAATTTTAAACCAGAGGGTAAACTGCAAAGGAATGACATGATTTGCCTTTTCCTCCATGAGTCTGAGGTGAGAGACAATCATGACTAAGAGAAAAGGAGTAGAAGGGTCGAGACTTCAATTACCATTATGTTTCCTTACCATGACCAGAAATCCCAAAGGGGTCGTGTGCCTGTGTCGTAGACAGCCAAGCAGAGGGCAAGCCTTTCTACAGCACCTCAGTTCATTCCCTCCAGTCCCCTCTGATACCCTGCCTCTTCAATGATCTCTTCTCTCCTATATTCTTCAACCTCTCCCTGTCTACTGGCTCTTTCCTTGAGGAATATAAACATGCTCAAATCTCTACATATATTAAAATTCCTTCCTCACCCCCACAGCTCCCTCTAGTTACAGCCATATCTATTTTCTCTTTCTCTTCACTGCCAAGCTACTTGAGAGAGTAGATATTCTCTGATCCAACTACCTATCATCCTTTCATTTTTCAGTTTCAATTGGTTTCTATTTCCATCTCTCCACTGAGACTCTTTTACTAAAGTCACTAATGAACACCCAATCCAGTGATCCTTTTCTGTCCTTATCCTCCTCCTCCTCGCTGTATTACTTGGCATGGATGACCAAGTAATGATGACTTTGCTCCAGCTTTTCACCAAAGTACTAGATGAGAGAAAGGGCAAGGGAACCTTCGGCTATGGGGTGGGGTCTCACCATCGCTGGGCAGTGGTACCCGCTGACGGGAATGGAAGGGGGTCTCACTGCGCCACAGATCTTCTTCGCTCTCAGCCACCAGAAGAGAGTTACACACATGACTGTCATGAAGGTCCTGAAGAAGCAGTCGCTAGGGGAAGGAGGAGCAAGGTTATCAGGGAATTGAAATATTCCCTCATAAACTGGTGGTGGTGGTCAGGGGTGAGCAAAGGCCAGAGAGAACACCCATTATCACTGGGGGTCAGAGGTCACAGTTACAGAGCTCTCGGCTCTGAGAGAGAACCCCAGTTAGGAACACTCGTCCCTCCTCTTTGCCAGAATATGTTCCCCATCTTTCTGTCTCAGCTTAAAAATCACTTCTTCAAGAAGCCTTCCCTGATACTTCGTTTGGTCAGATCCCTGTTATATGCTTTCATTATAGTCTCTACTTTTCCTTTGTAGAATTCTTCACAATTGCAGTTGAAATACTTTGTGTAATCCAGTTGTTCAATGTCTCTCTCTCTCTCACTCTATATAAGCTCCACAGAGTCAGAGTTTCCCTCTGCCTTGCTCATTTTTATATCCCCAAGGCTAGCACAGTGCCTGGCACAAAACAGCTGCCATTACTGGGGCAATAAAAGGAAACATATCATAGTTACTGAGAGAGTATGAGAGTAACCCAGTGTAACTGGGAGTGGGCCATGGACAATTTCCCAGTTTGCAGGGAATTGGGGGAGTAATAGAGCATCACAGTATCTGGGGGTTGAAGAAAACATTCCATAGTTGTTGTTGAGTCTGTGATGGACCCACAGCCTCTGAAGGTTAAGTTCCTGAAACTCCTTGCTCATCCGGGCTGAATCTCCATGCCCAGAGAGCCCTGTCCCTGGTTGCCCCTTACCTGGTTGACCTCCCTGCAGATCTCCCCAACTCGCCTCACTAGAATCTGCTGCAGGTGGCGACACTCAGTGCCTGGCCCTCCATCCTCCCGTATCATGCTCCTAGGGAAGAAGGATGGATCAGTGCAGAGGGGGCTGTATGTGTCATGATGGGGTAGGGGGGTCGTAGAAGCTGGGGTCAAAGGAAATCATGAAAAGGAAGCAGGATTAGACAAAGGGAAGTAAACCTGATGGGAACTGGAAAAATGGAATTCTCAAGAGTAATTCTGAAAGCCCAGGCTCCATGTTTGCTTCACCAGCTCCCATGCGGGTACCACGCTGAGACTTCCATCATGCAACTTGCCTCTTTATTCTCAAATCTTCTTTGTCAGAATGGTGGGCCTCCCTACCCTCAATACCTACCCCTGAAAGTGATTAGAGAAACAGTATTTAACCAGATGCCTAGTGGAGCCGTGGTTAAGCATTCGGCTGCTAACCAAAAGGTCGGTGGTTTGAACATACCAGCTGCTCCTTGGAAACTCTATGGGGCAGTTCTACTATGTCCCATACGGTCGCTATGACTCGGAATCAGCTTGATGGCAATGGGTTTGGTTTTGGTTTTTTAGGTCTGAATGCTGCCTCTGCCACTTACTAACTGTGACTTTGGGCAAGTATTTAACATATCTGTGCTTCAGTTTCTTCATCCATACGATGAGGATAATACTTCACAGAGTTATTATATGGATTAAAAGAACCGATTCATCTAAAACACTTCCATAGCAACTTCTGAAGCTGCTCTGAACTGCAGATGCTCTTAATGCTCAGCTAGGAGCCAAAATTCCCATCAGCCTCTCAACTTCATTCATAAAGTAGATAGTGCTACGCTTTGCTGTAAGTAGTGGGATGAGATGTGGCGGTGCCAATCTCAGAATACAAGTTAGATCCCTATGTGAATTCTCAGTTTTTAACAACACTGGAGATGGGTGTTGTGGAAACAGAGAAAAGAAGTTAATGCCAGGCCTGGCTTCTACTTACCGTGCATGTGCATATACTTCTACACGATCCTGCAGTACCCGGACGATAAGCCAAAAGTCAGGCAGACAGGGTCCAGGGAGGCCTGAGAGTGAAGGCTGTGGAGGTGCTGGCCCAGGTGGAGTTCGCAGTGTGAAAGGGGCCTTCTCACCAAGGGTCTCAGAGGGACCCTCACTGTCTGAGCCACTGCTGCCACCATCATAACCTGTGCCAAAGGTGCTGAAGTTCAGCCCTGCCCTTAGCTGAGTCTGGCTCATATGGGCCTCGAAGTGCATCAGGCTTTGATGGTCCCTCCTCCAGAGTAGTCATTTCTACCCCCTGCCCAGACCTTTCCCTGCACAACCCTAAGTCCCCTCCCCTCAGCTTCGATCCCCCGCCCCTCCCCTAAACTTACCGAGGTGGTCTGAGTCCACACTGCCCTGACTGGACATAAGGCTTAGTCCCCGGCTGGGCCCAGACTGGCTCCCTGAAGAGAGAAGGGAAATGCCTGGAGCCTCTCTCAATCCATGGAAGCAGGACCAGGGACTTGTACATCTATGAGTCCCTGATCTTGACCCCCAGACTTTGCCGTTCAAGTTTTCTCTTACCTCCCTGTGGCAGGCTGTGCAGGCTGATGAGGGGAGGGCCCTCAGAATCCTCTGGGGAGCCAGGGGCTTGGGGGCTGGCCGTCAGGGCCTACAGGGCAGGAGCCAAAACTGAGGTACAGGCCCCAAAATACCCACAGCCACTGACCTCCATTCTCAGGTCAGTCCAGGAAAGACTCACCTCCCCTTCGATGTCTTCAGCCCTATCTTCGTGGCTGTGCCAAGCCCAGGCTACTGGAGGTGGCTCCCCGTGGGACCCACCTGGCTGTTGGCCAGCTGCCACAAAGAAGAAGTCACTGTCAGGGTCCTCAAGAAGAACATGGCCAGGAAGGTGGAGGCGGCGGAACTCCTGGGGAGCAGGAGTCAAGATCACAATTTAGGCAGGAGCAGCCCTCCATACACATGGCACCCACACACACCCTCATTAAACCCTCACAGCTACCTGGTGAAGCAGACGCTACCATCCCCACTGCTCAGGTAAGGAGCCTAAGAAAAGGTTGAGTGACTTGCCTAAGGTTACACAGGCCCAGTGACAAGGTCAGAAGCTAGGTCTCATTCCACTGAGTTGGGCTGCCAGGCACACGGGTGAAGAAGAGGTGGGCAGCAGGGATAATTCTATGGACTCAAACATAGAGTCTTCCAGACGTGCCCCTGGAGTTCAGGGAAGGAGGGGTACCAAGGTGATCATGGGGTGTTCTGAGGGCAGCTTACCTCCTTGAATTGTGTGAGGGAACGTTCTGGCCCAAACACAAAACTCAGTGGCAAAGTTTGGCGAACGCAGGTGGAGCGCCCTGGAGAGCTGTGGATGTGGGCAGCTACATGGCGCAGGGCAGAGCTCTGGGGGATACCCCTTCTGCGAAGTGCTGCCACCATCTCATCCTCCAGCAACCAGCGGATCTAGAGTCAAAGGACAATCCAGGAAGGATGTAGGAGAGCACCCTCCGGGAGGGGACCTCCCTTGTTTACTAGGGCATCACCTTACTCCCAAGCTAGAGGATACTTTGCCTCACAGACTGCAGGCCTCACTGCAATCACAGAATCACTTAGATGATAGAAAGGGTATCAGATACAGTGTTGCGGGTGGGGAGGCCCTCACCTCACTCATGGTGGTCTCAATTGCCAGCCTGTGGGGTGTGGCCAAGTTGGACAGTCCTGGGTGCCTAATTGGAAGAAAGGTTCAGATACTGGTTTCCAGAAAACAAAACTGAGGGGAAGCAAGAAGCTCTGAGATGGATATTAGGAAGTACCTCTCTCCTCCTGGAGGTGGCAGTGGGGGCCCCAGGCCATCATCTGATCTTAAAGATGATGGTTGCCCTGGGGATCGTGGGAATGAAGCACTGCTCTCAGATGTCGACCTGAACAGGGTGGGAGCAAAAGTCAAAGGTCAGCTGTTACTATCCTCCCAGAGCCTCCTCATCACTCCCTTCTTGGAATCCTCAAGGTCTTCTGGGTCCCCAAATGCCCTAGATTTGTTTAATGGTCCACCCAATCCAACAGGCCCCAGATCACCCCCCCATCCCAATCAAACGTGCTGCCACACCGGTGGTGCTGGGGGTCGGAAGCCGGGGGAAGTTCCACTTCTAGGGGCAAGGTCAGTACGAAGACATCCAGAGTGACACTGAGGTCCCTCAGGGGAACTCGGCCTCCAATGGGGGGACCCTCCAGGCTGGACAGCACCTGGCCTGGGAGAGGAGGAAAATTAGGGGTTGCTGGGAGCCCTGGGGCCAGCACAGATTCCCAGTTCTGAGTTCCTAAGAGTGATACTCCTAGGTACTTCCCTACCACCAGAGGCAGGCAGGCTGTGCTGGGACCTTTGACCCTCCCCTGGGCACCCCCAAGCCCCTCACCCAGGCAGGTGGGCAGGCTGCACACAGGTACTGAGCTGTGCTGCCCACGCAGCCGCATGGAGCACGTGAGGTGCAAGAAGAGTGGTGGCAGATCATGCACGAGGCTCTCTGGCCCAGTGGGTGAGTCACCCCCTAGGATACTGAAGGAGTCTTCATCAGGGTTCACAGTGTCTGCGTCGGACAACGAGGCAGAGTCTAGCCCAGCAGGCCCCAGGTCTGGTTCTCGGCTCTCACGGTACTCCACCTCCAGCTCTGGGTCACTCTCAGTGACCACACAGCAGGCAGATGTGTCTCCTAGTGATGCATGTCATGTGGTCAATGGGAGGGGTCAGCAGTGGAGCCCCTGAACCCTGGCTTGAAGCAGCCTTCTCCACCTCTACCCCCTTGCCCACACACCTTCTTCTCCTATCAGCTCAACCTCTGAAAACTCCAGGTCACTGACTTTTCTGTCTACTGTGTCCCGGGGGCCCTCATCCTGGCAAAAAAAAAAAAAAAAAAGCTTAACTCAAGGCAGGAAAGAAGACACATCCAGGCCTCAAGGAACTGGAACCAAGATTCAAGAGGATTCAGGTGGGCTGAGTGGGGCCTCTGGGGCTAGGGAGTGGGGGGATGGGGGAGGTAAGGAAGAAGGCACGCACCTCTCGCCTGCTGGATGGAGGGCAATAGAAGAAGTAGTGGGGATTGGAGGGCACTGTTTGGAAGTGAAGACGACTAATCTCCAGGAACTTCTCCTGTGTGGGGGTTGGAAGGAGGCTACGTCAGCCAGCCTCAGCGCAGGACAGTACCCTCTGCTCCAGAATGGACACCTACACACCCCAGCTCAGGAGAGAATAGTCTCCCCACACAAGGCAGGACTCCGCCCTCTCCCAAGCTCCCCACCTGGATGAGGCTATGAAGGGCATCATGTGCCTGTCCTCTGAGCTGGCAGATGTCTGTCAGAGAGATCTCTGGGCCAGGGTCTAGATGGCCAGCGACACGAGTGCTCTGGAACTCAGGCTCGCTTAAGTCCTCGGTCTCTATGCTGAGTGGAGGGTGTTGGAAGAACCACTAAGTCCCAGAGGAGCCTACTTCCAACTAGGGAGCAGCCCACACCTGCCTATGTCTTTAAGAAGGGTCCTCAGCACACACCACAGGAGGTAGCAGAGGCAGGGAGAACCAACCCACACATCCTGGCTCTAACCTCCACATTTCTTAATGGCTAGACTTTTCTGTGAAACAGAGCAATGAGTCAGGATGACTCCTAGTTTTCTGACTTGGACTGCTGGGTGGAGGGTGATACGGTTCACTGCCAATGAAGAATACAGGCAGAGAACACAGACGAAAATAAGATGCGTTGATTTTGAAGGCACATAGATGGGGGTGTGTCTAGAGCTCTGGAGAGGGAACTGGGCTGGAGTTCCAATCTGGGAGTCATCTGCATACCCATCCCTCTGATTTTTCTGTTTCCCCAATGCTAACACACTGCCGATGTTAGACAAATACCTGTCTGCCTGCTTGCTTTCTCCCTCCCTTCCTCCGTTCCTCCCTTTAACAGGGACGTATGGAACTCCTAAGGTGAGCTGGGAACTCAGTAGTGAGTAAAGCACACATAGTTCTTGCCCCTATGAAACTTGCCAACTGGTGGGGGGACTGTTACTATTGCATGAATGTCCTGGGAACAAGGATCTACTTTCACTGTTGGCAACTTGGAACTCCTTATCTGAACCCAGCTTAACTTCACACCAAGACAGAAGAGGGAGGTAGAGCTTGGGAAGGAGACTGCTGCCCGTGCCAAGTGGGAGAAAGAAGCCTGGGTGGGAGCCAGAGAGTCAGTGACAAAGCACTACTGCTTCTCTGGCATTCAGTACTACCCTGTACCACTACTTCTCTGGATTGGAAGGTGACTGGTTATAGGGGCTTTGTCTGTCTGTCCCTTTATACTACACATTCAAGTACAATCCTAACCTGGACTCAGAAGCTAGGATAGCTCGTTCCCGAGGCTCGGGGCCCTCCTCGATGCTGCTGCTGAAGAGCCCGGGGCTGAGAGGACCAGGGCTTGGCGGGGCATGAGGCAAACCACAAGTGTGACCACACAGTGTGAGCAGAAAGTGGGTGATGTCCACTTCTTGCAGTAGTTCCTCACAGGCATCTACTGCTGTCAGCAAGTCCTGGGACGTCACGCTCTGTGCTTGCTGCAAGCTCCGGAACAGCCCTGACAGAAGTGGAAGGGGCCACCAGGATCAAGCTCTAGGAGTAGCCTCTCTAGTCCCCATTCCTGTAATCCCTCTATCTCTTTACCCTAAGCCCCACTCCTCCCTGCAGCTCCCTCAAGTGGTCTTCCTGCTCACCACGGACGTAGCATCGCTGTGCATGCTCCTGCAACAAGGCACAATGGTTGGCTGCTTCCTTGTACCTGGGCTCCATCCAGGCTGAGGATGGGGAGGAGTGGTCGAGGAACTGAGTCCTAGGAATGGGAGGAAAAACAGAGCCTGGCCAACTCCCGCAACTGATAGCTCAGACTTATCATTCACCTACACTCAGATGAATCGTCTACGAACCCTTACCAAATGTATTCATGGGCCAGCAAGTTCAACTGATTTGCCTACAAATGATCAGCAGAGTTGGCAGGACATGGCTAAGAAGCTGAGTTCCTGCCGCTGATAGCCAACCTCTCTGCTCATACCCATGAGTGTATACATTGAGCCTTGGCTGGGAGCTATGGTTAACGGTCAACATAGGCCAACATTGAGGGCACTCACCGGAAGATGAGGTCTTGAGGTGCCTGAGGAGGCTGCATGCCAACCATTTGCTCCCTCAGTGCTTCTAGGGAACAGCTATAGATGTAGACAGGACACCGGGTCCGGGGCCCATCTGCACCCTCGGTTTGGGGAGCCTGACGCCCAGTAGAAGCCTGTAAGTCCCGACAGAAGGGTGGGCTCAGCTCTCCTTGATTCTGGGCATTGTCTGTGGGCAAGAGGTGTCACATGGTCTCAAACCCTCTATTTGTTCCCCACTCCCACTCCTGCTTCACTGACTTAGCAGCCTTACCACTGGCTGGGGTTACACTAAGGACAGGAACCTGGGGCTTTGTAGTCTTGACCCCAGTTCCTCCCAGATCTTTGAGGCTGGGGGCCCCACTCCAATCCCCAAACTTAGGCTTTGTCTCCTCTTGAGAAGGCCCCTCCAAGCCATAGGCAGCGAGACGCCGGACATCTGAAAAGGAAAAAAGAGACATAAATCAGAGCTGTCTGGTGGGCCAGTGAGAGACTTTTAAAGGTCTGTAACTGAGAGGGTTAGTGAGGAAGGACAGTGATTGGTACCTGAGAAGGTAGCTGGGAGAAAACTTAGAAATACATGCTGAGGGGTCACAAGTCTTGCATAGCAGCGCCACTGAAGGGGCTGGGCAGGGATGAGAGGCTTGAGAGTTTCAGGAGGACCTACACTCTGTAAGACAGAAACAGAAAATCAGAGCCACTGATAAGGGAACATCCAGTCCCCGCTCTACCTCCACTCTAGACTCCAACCTTAGTTATACCTTGAAAGATCCAGGACAAAGGGAAATGACAGAAGGCATTTAGAATCAAGGGTGGTGGAAAGTTAGGGCGTGAATACAGAATGATGGAAGGAGGTTGGTATAAAAGGGCTCCCGGAGAAGAACCAGTGCTGACCAGGTTGGTAAGAGCTGAGTCTCCAGTGGCCAGGACGCTGCTGACTGCTTGATCCTTCGGGATGCCATGGCCCCCCACTACTAGTCCCTCTGCACCTACAATGTACAACGGAGGTAGAAATGGTGGACGAGGGCAGGGCCAGAAGAGATGCAGGACAAAACTCAAAGGCAGAAACCACTGTGGGCCAGTGGAAAAGGGGCTGGGCCGGAGTCTGACATCAGATAAGAGGTGGGGCACTTGAACTCACCTGAACGATGGCAGGTCCGCCGTAGCACCTCACTCAAGAAGGCAGCCTGGTCAGCGGTGGTCAGCGGGATCTCCCGGTCACTCAGCTCCTGCCCCAGGCAGCTGTGCAGCAGGCACAGCACCATGTCGTTGGCGGGACAGGGCCCCTCAGCGAGAGGGACGCCCTCTGGCTCTGCCCGACACACACTCTGCTCAGCACCAAGAGCTTCCTGCTGCCCACTGCCCCCGTCTCAGCCCTGACCAGCAAAGCCTCCCTTCCAGCCTCACAGCTTCCTCCTGTGCCATTGCTCACTTGTTTATCTGCTGACTCATCTGCTTTCTATTCTAACTGTCCCAGGCTTGCTGGCCCATTAAACATGAGGAGAGTGGGTACAAAGTTTACCCACCTTGTGAAAGCAGAAGGAAGAACATCTGGAGTTGTTGGCACTGTGGCAACAATCCCATTAGGTCAAAATGGAAAGGGATCTCATAAACACAGGTGTCTCCTCCCTGGTCCAGTCCTAGGAGGGAGAGAAAGAAGCTAAGACACGTAGTTAACATCTGGCTTACCTGCCTGTGGCTGCCTTCTCTCTACCCACTTCCCTACTCTGCCCAGTGGACCACCTTCCCCACTGACCATCAGAGACCCTTGGCTCTTGGGGCAGAGGACTCCATTCCTTGCTCTGGCATAGCTGTATCAGGTACTCAAAGCTCAGCATGGAGCCTATGCAGGCAGCATCCCGTGGGTGGAGCTAAGGGGTGAAATCAGAGGTCAGAAGTCAGCCCCACCTAGCCCAGAGTGCCCCAGCCCCCAGCTTCAAGGAAGCCTAGGCAGTCACAGACATTCAGAAGAGATTTAGAGGGACAAGGATACCCACAGGCTGTGTGTGGTACTCCAAAGGAGAAGGCATCCAAACCTTGTAAAGGGTGAGGGTAGTGTTTTGTGATCACTCACAGCCTGAGGGATCTCAGGGTATGTTAAGTCCTGGAGGTGCTTCCAGCTTCCAGGGCCAGGTCCCACATGCCCACACTGTGGCTCCACCCAGACCTCTGTGACCAGATTGAGCTCTGAGTCTCCCTCCAGAGCCTCCACCTCCACATCATTGTCATCGTCTGTTGAGAAACTAAAGGAGGAAAGGCTCTGAGCCCAGGGGAGAAGAGAGTTCAATCCAGAGCCTCATGGCAGGGAGTTAGCCCCATGAAGGATGGGATGGGGGCAGGCAGAGAAGACAGCCACACTGTGCCAAAATCTGCCTGACGGAGCATCTAAAAACAGGCACTACCCCCAACTCTGGGATCAAGATCATCTTAGGTTATAGAGAGCAGAACTTAGCATAAAAAGGACAGTGGGGAGAAAGGGGAATCCGGAGAGGCAGGTCTCAGGAAGGGGTCAGGTCTCACCTGTCTTTGGTGGAGGTAGAGTGTGGGGGGAAAAGGATGTACTGGACAACGCACGTGTGTTTCTCTTCAGCTGCATCCTGCCCAGGCGGTTCATTCTGTGGGTAAGATGGAGATCTTGGGCAAACTCCAGCCAATGCAGAGATCTGGCCTGATCTTGCCCTAGCCCATAAGACTTTAATCCCTTTGCCACATTGTACTATGACTGGACTCTGGCCTTGGGTTCTCTGGCCACAAGGTCCCTGTGAGGTAGAATCTCCAACAGTTCCAACTCAGCTCAAAGGTTGAGTGTCCCTGGGATTATCACAGACCTTAGTGGGGAGGTATCAGAAAGAATGGCACATACCTGAACTGGAAGCTCCAGGACCATGTTGATGATTCCTTCCCCGCTGCAGGCGAAGTGGAACCCTTCAGACAGACGAACTCTGAAGCCCCGTAAAGGCAGGGGCAGAGATGGAATGGGATGGGGGAAGGAGAGACCCACTCAGAGTACAGCCTCCCCATTCATCCCCTACTTACATACCCACCTCCCAGCAACCCGCAAGCAGCCTAGCCTTCTGGTGGTCCTGCTTAGACCAATGGCCCCTCAGAATATAACAGGTTCAGTGAGTACCAGAGGCCAAAATAAATAGACTAGGTGGTGAGCAGGAGGGACGGGCAGTAGCATACACTGCTCTGTGCTGGGTACTTTGCACAAGAGCAGCAGCAGCAGCAAAGAGACGGGGGCTCAGAGAAGGGAATGAAGTATCTTGCTTAGGCTTTCTGCCAGTGTCCAAGCCCAGAGCCTGTACTCTTTCTCTCCCTGTCCCAAGCTGCCTGGCAGGCTCAGGTGACGTACTCAGTGAGGATGGAGAGCAGCTGGGCGATAGCGCTGAGGGGCAGCGCAGGGGCCAGCCCTGACGGGACACTCCAGACCCAGCGCTGATGATAAAGGTAGCGCGACAGTGACGCTAGGCTGGAAGAGGCTGAGCGGCCTGACACCAATGGCAGTGGCCCTGGTGGCTCCAGTGTCAGCAAGAAAGGTGCCCGGTAGTCCAGGGGTAGCTTCTCATACCTGGGAAATGGGGGCAACTCACCAGTTGATCTGTACTCACATCCAGCTAAGCCTCTACCCTCCCGGGCCCCATCCCCACCCTCTCTACCAACCTGATTAGTAGCTTGTCCAGTGGCTTATGCAGGACCACAAGGCAGGGCCGGTCAGACAGGGCCTGCTGTGGTCCCAGCATGGGGGGTGACTTAGAGGGAGAGTTGCCCCCACCAGTACCCCCCAGCCCTTTGCGTTTCACCTTTGGTGTTGGCTCCTTGCTTTGTACTCGGTGGGGGAAACGTAATTGCAGGATCTCTTCTCTCAAGTCTGACACAATCTGTGAGAAAAATGGGATCAGATTCTCCTACTCCTATCTCCTACATGGTCTGGGAGAAGGGGCCCACAGACAAGGTGAGACTTCTCTCCTCCAAGTTTTATTTGGTCTGGGGGCTTCTCTCTCTACTCGACCTGGCCCTGCAGGGTTTTTGGAGAGGAGGCTAGTCTACACTCCTTGATCTAGGAGTCAGTCAGGGTCCAGCTCACCTTGTGCCGGGCCTGTGCTGATGTGCCAATGGGAAAACCCAGGCGAAGAACCATGCATGGCGCCTTGGAAATGATGCGGACCATGTAGAAGGAGGAAGGGGGCTGATCTGGGGCGCTGGGGAGAAACGAAGTTAGTAAGCATCCCTAGGTTAAGAGTTCACAGGTTTAGGAGGAAGTAGGAGTGGTATGTGGGGTTGGAGGAAGAGGAACGGGATGAGGTGGTGAGTGAAGAGTGAGGGGTCATCACTTTGCCGACCTGGAAAGCAGCTTGACGTAAGAATAGCCCTCCACTAGCACGAAGCTGCTCCAGTCCCGAAGCAGAGAGGTCAGTGAGGAGTGGGAAATCCTGCACTGGATAGTGCTATAGCGTCCATTGCTGCCCGGAGTGTGCAAGTGCTTGGGGATTGGTCTGGGAAGGCAGGGTACAGATTGAGGTCAGACCTCTCCAGTCCCAATCTTGGCAGAAAAGAATAGACTGGTAGCTGTCTCTTCCAGGCCCTGCCTGAGGCTATGGGGGCTGATAAGCAGGAAGACTAGGAAAGGACCATAGTTTTTCCTTGGCCCAGGTTAGTAAGGGCTTATCTGCTGGTATGTTTTTTCCTGCTTCCCTTCCCCATCATTCCCTGTGCCCTCACTCCTGCTCTTCTATCCCAACTACGGCCCAAGGAGGATACCCACGTATCGTGCTCCAGGATGAGCACCAGGCGATGCATGTGCAGCCAGCGCTGCCATGAATTAGCATCCATGGACAGCACTGGCTTCCAGTAGGCAGCAAACTGGGCATGGGATGAGTCGGAACCACTGTGCTGAAGGGAGAGTACCTAAGAACAGGAAGGACAGCCTTATAGGAGCATTCACGGAAAACCAGGGCACAACCTCCAAACAGCAAATAGAACCTCAGGCAGACCCAGATTAGGAGGTCACAGAAGGCTGTGGTTTAGGGCTGAAGGAAACTACAGGCTACCTGGGGCAGAGGCAAAAAGATGCCTCCAGTATGAAGGCTAGATTAGGATGACTGAGTGTAGGGACAGACTGTAAAAAAAAAATCCATTGCAGTCAAGTCAATTCCAACTCATAGCGACCCTATAGGACAGAGCAGAATTGCCCCACAGGGTTTCCAAGGAGTGGCTGGTGGATTCAAACTGCTGACCTTTTGGTTCGCAGCCGTAGCTCTTAAACACTTTGCACCAGGGCTCCTATATCACTGACTTTGGAGGAAAACCTCCTCAGTGATGGCAGGACCTGGTGATGAGGGCCACTGCACACTAGCATAAGCCACCTTATGTCAGTGCTAGGCTGACAGTTGTGGACTGAGTGTGAGGAAAACACAGGGCAAAGACAAGCTATGGTCTTCAGGAAGTACACAGTCTACAGTGGCTGGTGGTTGACAAAAGGTGAAGGTGGTAGTGGTGGAGGCCAGAGTGTGTCAGGTGGAGATGGGGTGAGAGGACTCACGGTCTGCTGGGATATCATCATCCAGGTATTCTACAAGTCTTTAGCTCTGATACCTGTGGTCTGCTGAGGAGAGCCTCTCTCTACAGCTCCTTCTCCCCTGGAAGCTTGGGAGCAGGGAGGAGAGATGCTTTCAGGGCTTACACTTAGGGTTCTGGTTTGGGTGCCTCAGACTCAAGAGGGAAGGAAATAGAAGGTGGTTCTGGGCTCCAGATGCCATGCTAATCCAAGTCTGTGTAGGAAGAAATGGGGACAATGAGCATCAGAGCCACTCACCGGGGTGGTGGAGCCAGGAGGGATGTAGAAGAGCGGCACTCCGCTCTTGGTGCTGTCAGGAAGCGTGAAATGTTCTGGGACGGAGGAGAAGGACTGAAGGTGGGCTAGCATCTGGTCTGTCTGGTTAATGCTGTAGAACAAAGGTCAACCCTTAGCCACATTGGACTCTGGAAGGTGCACAGAAGGGGAGCCCCACTCTGCTTAGGCCTCAGAGGAACATGGGACCCTGGACACAGCCTGGTACTCCGAGTGACTCTCCTCAGCTCCCAGCTTCACAAATCTCTTCCTCCAAACAACAAATGAGGCATTACTCAATGAGTGGTGACCTCACTCACCTCTGCAACGTGTTCCAGAAGCGCCGGATAACATGGGTGCGATACAATGAGCGAATGGGTTGCCTTAGAGCACAGGACACATCATGCAGAATGTCATAGCCACCTTCCATTGTCACTTCCACCCGTGTTCCTCGAGGGCCCTCAGGCTCCAGGGGCCAGGGTGCCATAGCCACATACTCAATGCGCATGTTGTGTTTCCACAGCAGCACCAGCTTCATCTCCAGCTGGGAGCCGCCTTCAGGGGAAACAAGAGGGGTGGTTAAGGGAAAAAGGCATAGGATTCCAGGCCTGGGTCCTATTTGAAACCTCCATCTAACCCATGGAACTCTAGCTTGGCCAAAGTTTCCAAGTATGGTTCCAGAGATTTCAGGCCCAGGGCCTGCTAACTCACAGAAACAGAAGTCTGAAGGAGTAATCTGAAAACAGGACACCATACTACCCTCAGCTTATTCAACTTGGGCAAGGAGGAGATGGAATTGGGATGCTAAGTGCTAAGGGAACTAAACCTTGAGGGCAACTCAAAAACTGACTTGTCTCATATGGGGAGCAGGGCCTTTCATAGACATTCTTTCCCATGCGGTCTATTTGTGCCTCCACTTAGTTCGGCAGGTTCTCCTACACAAAAATTCTTGGCGACTTCTGAGATACACAGCAGGGCCTAGAGACCCTTACCTTTGGCCAGTGTGACCTCGCGAACACTGTAGCCCTCTCGAAGCCGCACAGACACAGTGCTGACCAAGTCGGCTGGCACCTCCTTCTCAGTGTGTTTCTTCCGGCGCAGGGCCAAGGCAGGGTTGCTGCTTGCGGAGACCAGGTGCTCATTGAATAGGCGGTGCTGAGAGCCTAGAAGACCAGTAAGGATGGGAAAAGGCAAAGTGGTTATTTGTCAGCTGATAGATATATAGGAGGGGGATATACTGAAATCATGGGAAACAACAGTGTCAGAGTGATCAGTCCCAGTTATACCTTCAGTCCTTCAGGGACCCAAATTCCTAGCCAATTCCTGCATAATCTCTGGGGCACATTTTATACTCCCTCCCATCCCACATCCAACCCATCCTGCCTCTCACCACAGTAATATTCAGGGTTCAAGGCTTCCCCACTGCGGAGGAAGGAGTAGAGGAGGAATGCCCGGTGGTAGACGGTCAGACCCAGGTTGCCTGGCTCCGGCTCAGGACAAGTGGACAGGTAGGAGCCAAATGTTGCCATTGCGATGAACTTCATCAATTCCACATTGGGCACATGGCCAAAACTGCAGTCATAAGAGTAAACTCCTCCCACCTGAAAGAAGTGAGCAATTGGGAGATGGAGCTCCAACAGAGGTATAGGAGAAGGAAGCAGATAGCAGAGGAAGAGACTGGGCTGTGTGGCTACTCCCATCCCCTTGACCACAGGGTGGGAAGTGGGCCAGTGTTCTCCTAGCTATAGACCACAACTCTGCAACTTGCCTTCCTTAAGGCCTTCTGTCTGAAGCCCATGCCATTTGGCCATACCATTCTCTGCTCTTCTTCCTCAACACCAAATACCAATCTTCCTCATTCACTATAGATTTTGGCAACTGTTCACTGGCTTCCTGTCATCACTCTTTAACAAAGTGTCTCTAACAAAACTCCTTTCTCAACCCAGCCTAAACCCTACATTTAAGTAACTCAATAAGCATCATTCCCAACTCCCTGCCCCCCTTAACTCTTTTCTGCTTCTACCTCAAAATCCCAACTAGGATCACAACCCCTATATACGGTCTTACAGATTGAACTGTGTTCCCAAAAAATAGGTGTTGTAACTTCTAATTCCTCTACTTGTAGATGTACTCCCATTTGGGAATAGGGTTTTCTTTTTTATGTTAATGAGGTCATGTCAGTACAGGGTATGTATGAAGGCAATCACCTTTGAGATATAAAATGAGCAGATTAGGCACAGAGAAGCAAGCTGAGATGGGGGAAGATAGATGCCAAGCCACATGAAGATTGCCAAGGAACTGAGGAACAGAAGCTGAAGGGAGACAAGGACCTTTCCCCAGAGCCAAAAGAGAAACAAAGCCTTCTCCTAGAGCCGGCACTGTGAATTCAGACTTCTAATCTCCTAAACTGTGAGAAAATAAATTTGTTTGCTAAAGCCACCCACTTCTGGTATTTCTGTTACAGCAACACTAAATGACTAAGACACCTGGCTAGTGGAGCCAAATTGGAGAAAACGGAACAGCTGTGTAGGCTGGTACCACATCAAAACATGAGACTCAATAGCCAAAAGGTGGAAACAACTTAAGTGCTGTTTTCCAACAGATGGATGGACAAAACATGTGTTACATACATGCTGTCTTAGTCATCTAGTGCTGCTATAACAGAAATACCACAAGTGGATGGCTTTAACAAAGAGAAGTTTATTCTCTCACAGTCCAGTAGGCTCCAAGTCCAAATTCAGGGAGTCAGCTCCAGGGGAACGTTTTCTCTGTTGGCTCTGGAGGAAGATCTGTGTCATCAATCTTCCCTTGGTCTGGGAGCTTCTCTGCGCAGGAACCTCAGGTCCGAAGGATGCGCTCTGCTCCCGGCACTCCTTTCTTGGTGGTATGAGGTTCCCATGTGACTCTGCTCGCTTTTCTCTTCTATATCTCAAAAGAGACTGGCTTAACACACTATCCAATCTTGTATACCTCGTTGGTATAACTGCTACTAATCCATCTTATTACATCATAGTGATAGAGTTTACAACACATAAGGAAATCACATCAGATTACAAAATGGTACACAATCATACAACACTGGGAATCACAACCCAGCCAAGTTGACAGATATTTTTGGGGGACACAATTCAATCCATGACATATGCAAAAGAGTATTATTCAGCCATAAAGAGAAATGAAGTACTGATACATGCTACAACATGGATGAACCTTGAAAACATTATGCTGACTGAAGTAAGTCAGGCACAAAAGGAAATGTTGCATGATCCCACTTATGTGAAATACCTAGAATAGGCAATTGCATCATGACAAAAATTTATCAGCGATTACCGGGGCTGGGGGGAGGGGGAAGGGGGAGTTATTGCTGAAGGGGTACTGAGTTTCCAGCTGGGGTGATGAAAAACTTTTGGAAGCGGATGGAGGTGATGGTAGCACAACAGAGTAAATGTAAATAATGTCACTGAATTGTACACTTAAAAATGGTTAAAATGGCAAACTGTTTTTGTTATATATATTTTACGACAATAAAAAGCAAAATAAAACAAAACAACATATGACACCCAACCCAGCTGTCCTTCAGGGCTGTCCTCGGTACTGCTCCAGTTTCCTAACTCTGGCCTCCCTCCCTCACAGGACTCATCTTCACCTTCTACTTCAGAGAGAAATCAGAGGGCCTTGGCAGAATCTACCTACATCTTCACTTCTATCTGCAGGGGAAAGATGTGCTAGTCTGCTTCTGTAAAGGCTACAGCCTTGGAAACCATCTGGGGCAGTTCCACTCTGTCCTATAGGGTCGCTATGAGTCAGAATTGACTTGATGGCAATGGTTTGGTCACTTCTATCCTTCTAGCTTCAGAGAAAGAAATGATACTCTCCTGCTCCAAAAGAGTCCCTCAATCTCTTGAGTTAATGCCCTCTGTCAATTTAGGAATGTCACTCCATCAGACATCCTTTTTCTTTCTTTTAATTTCAAACTCTGCTTCACCATGGCTCCTCAGAAACATGCTTAGTCTTTAGCTTAAAAACAAACAAAAAAACACCTCTTCCCCCACCCTGTACTTCCCTCTGGCTACCATTCTCTCTCTCACTCCCCACTTGATCTTAATAGTCAAATTTCTTGTGTCAACACTTGTTTCTGCTTCCTTCTCTTCTATCCACTTTTCAATCCACTGTAATCACTTCCCTTACCACCTCTTCACCGAAATGGCTCTGAAAAAGATCCCCAGGACTTGGAAGCCCCATAGACACATCCAAACTCCCTGTGGGACTGAATTGCTGGGTGAAGGGCTATGGGGACCATGGTCTCGGGGAACATCTAGCTCAATTGGCATGACACAGCTTATAAAGACAGTGTTCTACATTCCACCTTGGTGACTAGTGTCTGGGGTCTTAAAAGCCTGTGAGCGGCCATCTAAGATAGTCCACTGGTCTCATCCCTTCGGGAGCAGGGGAGAATGAAGAGAACAGGATACAATGAAAAGATTAGTCTGAAGGACTAATTGTCCACAGCTACCAAGGCCTCCACCGGACTGAGTCCAGTACAGCTAGATGGTGCCCGGCTACCACCACTGACTGCTCTGACCAGGATCACAACAGAGGGTTCTGGACAGAGCTGGAGAAGGATGTAGAGCATAATTCTAACTCACAAAAAAAAGACCAGCTTTATGGCCTAAAGGAGACTGGAGAAACCCCGAGGGTATGGCCCCCAGACACCCTTTTAGCTCAGTGGTGAAGTTATCTCCGAGGTTCACCGTTCAGCCTGGGAGTGGACAGCCCCGTAAAACCAAATGAGACTAATGAGGTACAGTAGTCCAGTGACAAGGGCTAAAAGGCAGAAGGGGACAAGGTAGCTGGTGATAGGGAACCCAAGGTTGAGTAAAGATATTGTTGATGTGTTGTGAGGTTGTTAACCATTGTCATAGGGCAACATTTGTAGTAACTGTTAAATGAGAAACTATTTTGTTCTGTAAGCCTTCATTTTAAGTGAGAATAACCGCACAATTGGAAGAGCGTAGTCAATGTCACTGAACTGTGCATGTAGAAATTTTTGAAATGGTATATCTTTGGCTATGTGTATTCTCACCAAAAAAAAAACATTGAGAAGTTAGAGGGTTGACATGTTGTGGGGTTGTTAACCAATGTCATAAAACAACATGTGTACTACTGTTTTCATGAGAAACTATTTGTTCTATAAGCCTTCACCTGAAGTACAATTAAAAAAAAAAAAAAGAAAGATCCCCATGACCTCCTTATCACCAAATCCAAAGGGTACTTTTCATCCCTTATTTACTTGACTTTCTGCTGCATCTTATAATGGTTCTTGTCTGATCGCCGTCATTCTTTGCTGGAGCCTCTTCCTAGGGAAGACCTTTAAACAATAGTGCTCCCCTAGGCTCTTCTGGGACCCTCTTCTCCTAAATCTCTACCTCTTATCTAGTGGTCTCTCCTGAGTATCAGATTTGCATACTCAACTACTAAATGCTAGGAACTGTAGCCATTTATTAAGTAGTTATGTACTACATTTAGTGCTTTAAACCAATGAGATAGGTACCATTATAACCTCCATTTACAAATGAATCCAACCTGGAGGTGAAGTGATTTGCCAAATGTCACACAATTAACAAGTGGAGCCTGGATCCACACTAGTCATGTCTCATTCCAAAGGTGATGTTCTTAACTGCTATACTATCTTGACCCACAGGTAACTCAAACAACATTCACAAACCTGAATTCATCACCATCTTCTCCGTACTCCACCCCAAGAGCTTCTCTTCCTGTTTGCTCTGCCTGCTACCCACTCATCACTGAAGTCAGAAACCTGAAGGCATCCTTTTGAGGGACATCTAGGTCAACCGGCATAACAAAGTTTATTAAGAAAATGTTCTGCATCCCCCTTTGGTGACTGGTGTCTGGGGTCTTAAAAGCTTGCGAGCAGCCATCTAAGATATATCAATTGGTCCCAACCCACTTGGAGCAAAGGAGAATGAAGAACACCAAGGACACAAGGAAAGTATCAGCCCAAGAGACAAAAGGGGCACATAAACCAGAGTCCCCATCAGCCTGAGACCAGAAGAACTAGACGGTGCCCAGCTACCACCAATGACTGCCCTGACAGGGAACAAAACAGAAAGTCCCTGATGGAGTGGGAGACAAGTGTGGAACAGAACTCAAATTCCAGTAAGAAGACCAGACTTAAGGGTCTGATTGAGACTGGAGGAACTCTCAAAGCCATGGCCCCCGGATGCTCTGTTAACCCAGAAGCGTGAAGACCACTCTTCAGACAAAGATTAGACTGGATTATAAAACATAAAGTAATACTTGTGAAGAGTGTGTTTCTTAGTTCAAGGAGATACACAAAACCAAAAGGGTGGCTCCTGTCTGGTGGCAGGATGAGAAGGCAGGAAGAGACAGGAGCTGGTTGGACACTGGAAACCTGAGGTGGAAAGGAGGAGTGTGCTGTCACATTGTAGGGACTGCAACTAGTGTTACATGACAATATGTTTATAAAATTTTGTTATGATTAACTTGAGCTGTAAATTTTCACCTGAAGTACAATTAAAAAAAAAAAAGAAAAGAAAATAAACCTGGAGACTTCCTTAACTCTTCCTACTCCCTCGCCCCCTAAATCTTGTTGTTGATATTGTTGCCATGAGTCAGAATCAACTCAATGGCAACCCCATGTGTCCACAGAAGAACTGCTCCGTAGGATTTTCAAGGCTGTGACTTTTTGGAGGCAGATCACCAGGCCTGTCTTCCGAGGCACTGCCAACTGGTTTGAACCACCAATTTTTCGGCTAGTAGTCAAGTGCTTAAATCATTTACGCCAATTCATGTTGACTCTACCTCTTCGTTTTCTCAATCCCATCACCGTCTCTCAAATTATTTAATTAGAGAGAAGATGATGGGATTGAGAAAACGAAGAGGTAGAGTCAACATGAAGGTGACATGATTGAGAACAAGAAGAGGCAGAGACAATATAAATATTTAATCCCCTTCATTTAAGCCCTGATCCTCTCTCACCTGGACTACTCAATTAATAGGCTCCCCCCCTGCCCTCCACCCAGCAGCAAGTGTGACCTTTATAAAATATAAACCCCATCAGTGACTCTCTTTTATATATCTGCATCACTCACAGAGATTTAGGATCCAACTCCTCAGTACAGCAGAACCAGTTTTTCATGCTCTGGCATATGCCTACCTCTTCAGCCTCATTTACCATAGCTCTACAGTCCTACTCTATAGTCCATTGATCTAACTTACCTGCAGTTTTCTGACCCCTGCAACCAAAACAATAATGACTTATCTAATGAGGGAGGTAGGACTGGAAGTGTCAGATTTCAAATTCTACATCCTTTTTTACTGCTATCTCTTAAGTCCTAAGAAAAGGGAACAAGATACTGAGTCCTCTCCCATCACTATTGCTACCTATCCTGTTTGAGACATGTCACTTTTCTTCTATGTTACTGGCCTTACCTGGGAAGTCATCAACTGTAAAAAAGTAACCAGCCATATTCAGTTTTGTGAGATACCACACTCCTCTCTCCTCCTTCCTAGAAAGTCCTCACCTGTACAAAGGAACAAGCCACAGTGCCGCTGCGAAGCTGGTTCAGCAGTGTCTCACAGACAGCAACGTCAGGGACGCTGGTCACCCCATCCGTGATCACAATGATACCTAGAGCAGGAAACACCAGACTCAGTACCAGAGACAATGACCAGCTCAAAGTCACAGGGAGGTACCCAGTGTAAAGGGCCCTGAAGATCTCAATGTCCTCCAATCAATGTTTTTTATAAACCTCAAATACCTTTCCTTCTTTCCTTCCCTCCTGCTTCTTCCTCTTGAATGCCAGATCACAACCTCCCCCTACCCCGAGTAGGGTGCTGATGGTTGTCAGAGCTGTGGGTACTTGAGATTTGCATTAATACAGACTTATGTTTTACAAATAAGAAAATAGAACCTCTTTCCTGGGGCCCAGTGATCCCCTGGAACCTTCTGTCTTTGTTGACACTCCCCCTTCTTAAATCCTCCCATTTCCCCAATCCCACCAATGCTCCTAGAGACCTCACCTTCCACTGACCTGCACTAGAGTTGGAGGGCAGCAACTGCAGCGCCAAGATGCCCTGACGAATCATACTGACCAGCCCAACATCTGCTGTCACCATGGAGACTCCCACCTTCCGGCCCAGGGGCTCCAATGAGTCTGGAGACTGGCCCTCTGCCTGGCCCCAAGTTACAGAAAAGATAGAGTGGGACAGATGGCATTGCTGCCCCATCCACAGCAAAACCAGAATTTATAGCCCAGCACTGCCCAGGCCAGACAGGCCTAATCCTGTGAGGATCCCAAGGAGAATCTCCTACTCTGCAGCTGAGCCCCGACTCCTGTTTCCTCCTCCAGTGCATGCTCAGATACTGAACTTCAGACAGGAAGCAAATCCATCATCAGATGAAGTACCAGATTGTTCTAAAGCAGGGATTCTCCACTTTTTCCCAATAAGAGCCCCTCTTCATATTTTTCCATTACCATTATGAAAAATTTTATATATCAATTACATCAGACACATAGAACTGCCATTTGCTTAGCTACTTCTGGAGTATCCAGAACGAGTAAGGACATTCTAATGAGCCCAAGCAGCTTTATCCCTGACTGAACAAAATACTAACTAAAGATCAAAGCAACCCATGACCGCCTTTGCGGAGTCACTGGGGGAGAAGATCTGGGACTGAAAAACACAGGCAAAATGGCTTTCAGATTTTCTCCTAGCAAGAATTTCTGCTTATGGGCATCTATCGGAGTCCTTCTCCAACAGGAACCTCCTGTGTGCACTCTTCAGCACTGCCATCCTTGGCTCTTAGCCCTTTTCTCCCCTCCTTTCCCTTGGCACTTGGCTTGCTCCTCCTCTCTGCCTTCTGTCCTTAGCTGGTCCTCTTTCTGTGTGGTCTCTGCCCACTTTCTCTCCCACATACCTGGCTCTGAGGATCATACTGCTGCTGCAGCATGGTGGCCACCTTATCCTCAAAGATGCAGAGCTGCTCATACACCTGCTGCAGGAACACCTCCCACTGAGAAGGGTCCAAAAGACAGCCCTGTACCAACACCTGAGAAGTACAAGGAAAGACTGAGATGTGAAGGTCACAGAGGCATTGGACATGACCCCTCTGGTCTCTATTTCTTCTCCATAGCTCCATCTAGGTGATCCTGACTTCCCAGCCAACCAGGATCTAAGGTCTGGCAAGTTCACAGCCAGTTCTCTCCTTATCAGACATATACTCCATCAAGGCTCAGCTCAGGTACACTGCATCCCAGTCATCAGGGCTCCCAGTCATTAGTCACCTTAATCTGGGTCACAACCATCCTCTGCTTACAGTCCTCCACACTGGGCTTCCCCAATCTTTGGCATGGGGGTGCCATCAGATCTTCCAGATTCTTGCATCTTGGGCAAAAAGATGTTGCCTATAAACTGCCCAAACTCAGCTTGGCAAAGCCTTTTTTATTCTGCTTCATGCTTTTTTATTCTTTTGGATTCCTAAGCGTATTGTACACAGAGGCTGCCGGGACCTTCTCTTTTTTAAGCTCTAATATTCTCTTATTCCCCAAATTCTCCTTCCTTCCCTTTACCCTCAGCAGATAACTCCTATCCCCCTCTTCATAGAGAAAGAAAGCCAGTCAACAGGAACTACCCCCTCACTCTAACCCTGAGGCTGTACTACTGTCCAACCCACTGAAAACTGCCCTCTAGGTTGAAAACATCAGTGTTCTTATGGTTCCTTCAGGCTCTGAAAAAAGGATTCTCCCTCTTCCAGCTCTTTTTCCCTAAAGCTAATCTCTCCATCTAATCTCGGACCTTTTCTCTCTTTATTATCTTTTCACTCTCACCATAGACCCCTTTCCTTCATTTTCAAACATAAATAAGTGCTCCCACCCTAAAAGTTTTTACATAAGCCTGGCAGCCCCTGTGGTGCCCCTTAGGATCTCTCCCTGTTTCCCCTCAGACTCCTACAACCTGTTTCATTGCCCACTTCTTCCTCCCAACCCCTGCCCCATAGCGGAACAACTACTCCATCACTTCCTATTCAGAACTGTATTGGTCTGATTGTTAGAAGACAAAAAGAATAAGAGTAGTAAGAATTGGAGCTATAAAAAGATAAGATGTTCACAGCTGTATTGTTTAGAATAATAAAAATTAAGGCAACCCGAGTGTCCAACAATAAGGGTTTGGCTAAATATATCATGATTATAGGCATATGATAAAATATTAATATAAGTAGTCATTAAAAACCATGTTTTCAAAGAATACTTAGTAACAGAGAAAAAATACCCGTATTATATATACATAAAAAGCAGGATGTAAAACTGTGTGTATGGAATGAGCCTGACGTTTCTCTTTCTTTTTGGATGAGGGGATGGTAATGAGGGAGGATAAACACATACTCACAAGACGGGAAGGAAATTCCATAAAATGTTAACAACAGTTATCTCTGGGTGGTGCATTATGGGTGAGTTGGGGTTTTTTTTTTCCTTACATTTTTAGGTATTTTTCAAATCTCCTTCAATAAACATGTAGTTCAAATATGATTTAACTTCTTTTTTTTTTTTTTAAAGAGCAGCAGGATACATCTTGAGGGAGCTATAGAGAAAATGAGGAAGCTAACTCAGGGCTGACAAGTAGCCCTGGGGCTTAACAGATAGTCCTCTCCTTTTCCACGGCTACTGTTCTTGCTTGGGCCTCATCCTCTCTCCCATGCTGTGATAATCCTCTGCCTGTTCTCCTCACATCCAGACTTTGTCCCTCAGACCATCTTCCACACTGACCACAAAAAAACGAGATCTTCCTCGTGTACAAATCTGATCATGTTATTGCTCATTTAAAATCATCAATGGTCCTCCACTACCTATAGCTAATAATTTTAACAGATAACATCTCTGTGTTTCCTATGTGGCAGGCACTGTTCTAAGTCATAGACATGTACCAAATCAATCACCATATAATACACCCATTTTGGTGAAAAGAGACAGATGCACAGGGAGGTTAAATAACTTGCCTAAGAGCACACAGCCAGTAAATACTACAGCCAGGATGCAAACACAATGTGATCCTAGAGCCACTGCTCTTAACCACTGCACTTAACTTCCCTATAGGATAAATTACAGTACCTAGCACGTGTTCTGTATGTTTCTAAGATAAAATCCTACACGACAGCATGGCATTCAAGGCCTTCCATAATGTGGGCCCCACTTCTCTCTCTGTTCTCCTCTCTACCACCAGCCTCCCTCCACATTCAAACTTTATCAAAACTGAGTAACATGTAGTTCCCTAAACTCCCTGGATTGAGAAGAGTTTCACAGCTCCACGTCTTGCTGGCCCCTCTGCCCAGAATGTTCATTTCCCCTTCTTTGACTGGTTACCCTCAATTCTTTCTTCAAGACTCAGTTTAAATGCCTCTTTACCTGAAAGCCTTCCCTGTCACTGCTCTACACTTGGTTGGGTGCTCCCTCTCAGGGCTTCCATAACACTGAGTCATAACTGGCCAGTGCCCTTATCACATTCAACTGAAATTACCTCCTTTAATATCTGTCTTCCGCACTAAACTCTCAATTCCTCCTGTCAGACAGGGACAGTGTCTGATTCATCTGTGTCTCCAGGACCTAGCCCAGGCCTGGCATAGATCAGGCTTCACTAAGTGTTTGCCAAACTGAACCAAATTTTGAGTGATTATCCAATTCCCGTGCTCTCCCTGCCTTGACCAGCAGCGCCTACCCACTGGGGATGGGGCTCACAACCAGCAGTCCTTAATAGCTGCATTAGGGAGAGCACTTTAAACTAGGTGGAGGGCTAGCAGTCCCTGCTCTGCCATCCAGGCATGCTTCAATTGTGTTGTTGTATATTTCAGACCCTCAGATACTGTCCCTGGCATTCCCTGTCTCTCAAAACCAGTTTGATAACTGAGGTGACAATGTAGCCATCAGGGACAGTGGCAGGGCAAGCCCCTACCAATGAGTTGAGGGTGGTTACAGCAGGTCAGGGAAAATTGGGCCAGTGCTTATCTAAGTCAAAAACAGATATTCCAGTTACAGACTTGGCTGCTCTTCGAAAGGAGTGTCTTGTGATAGTCTGCTTGGGTGCTGGATAAGGCCTGTAATTAATTATCTGTGTGGTCAGAATTACACCCAAAAGTCCATAAGGCCCTGAGAGAAAAAGAACCTCCTCTGCTCTTGGAAGAAATGATGTTTCTGGGTATTTGTTATATTTCAAAATATAAAACTATTTCAAAAGAGCATCTCTTGGGGTTAGCACCAGGAGTTAGGATACCAGTAAACCATCTGATAGAAAAAGAAGAGGAGGGAAGAACAGAGAAAATAGATAGCCACTAGCCAGAACCAAGGGAATTTATAGGAGGAATGAGAGAGGCATTTGTCCAATCAATGCCAAATGACCTAAGGTCTACGGGAAGGCTCTGTGGGACCTGAGGAATTGGGACCTGAGATGTGAGATACCCATGGAGATGATGAGGAAATAGGTTCAAGAAGCCAGCAGAGCTGGGGACTTTGGGCATGAACAGTAGGGACAGGATTCAAGACTTGGTCAGTGGACTATCAGAAATTAGGTCTGAGGGTATAAACTTGGAGAGAGGATACAGTACCTGGTGGGACTGCAGGCCAATGATTGAGGAATAGGCCTGGATAGTTACATAGATCTCAGGCTGGAAGTCGATGCAAGATCCAGGCACTCGGAAGGGCCGAAGCAGCCCACCTAGGCAGCGGGAGAGGGCGTGGAAAACTTCATCGAACAAGATCTCCCCTGTGGAATCATCCTGAGGGCAATGCAAAGAAAGATCTCTCAAGGGTGACCAAAGGCAGCCCTAAGCAGACGGCAGAAACAAGCAGCTCCCATGCGTCAGTGGGACCCTTATGCTCATCTCACCCCCAAACACAGTGCCCTAGATGGGACAGGGTTTGTCTTTAAATACCCTCCATTCCTTTATATGCCTGTCTCCTTCCCACAGTGGCAGACTAGGATGATTTTTCACCTCCCCTAGTCCTCTCCCTCCCTTTTTCACCCTCCACCACAGCCTTTCTTCCCACCCCCCCACTCCAGGCCCTCACCACAATGCCAGTAGATGGGCTAAGGTCCAGCTCAATGACAAATCGGTATTGCCAAGCCAGGAAGGTGACCCGGGTGGAAGGAACAAGGAGGAACGGGCTTGGGACCACTGGTTCATCTGGTTGCCACCCAGGGGGCAGGACACTGAGGACTTCCAACTCCTGCTCAGACTGAAGCTGATAAATTAGGATGGAGAGAAAAGAAAACAGTCAGGGAAAGGTCATCCCTTTCTTCTAGGACCTGAATTCTATATCCAAAATGACACACCATTGGCCAATCTCCTGGAACCCAATCCCACACTCTTCCCCAACTACTTGAAAAAATCATTAAATAAAATTTCCCCTGTGGAATCATCTTGTGGGCAAAGTCATCTGCCCTCCCAGACTCAGACCCCTCAGTTAGTCTCCGGTTTCCAGCACCCTCCAGTCCCTCATATCCTGCCTGTCTCTAGGGCTCACCAGCAGCTCCTGGGGGGTGGCCTGCACAGTTTGATGCAGGTGATTGAGGAACCAAGCCAGGCGAACATTTCGGGAGATTCGATAATCCTTTTTCATCAACAGGAATACCTGCCCAGCTTCTTCCACCTGGGGACAAAGAGACATTAATAAATCTATAAAGATTCACTGAGTCCCAAATTTATAAAGATCACTGTACAAGTAACTTATCCAAGGAGCTCACAACCTACAAGCGGGAGGCAAGGCAGCAGAGGTGAAAAGTTCACCCCACCCCCATGCAAGGCATTACCTCAGATTGAATTCTCAACTCTCTGCACCCACTCCCCGTACATAAGTCTCTATATAGATAAAGTGACCTTTCCACATTATTCACAAATGTTTATGGGTGAATTTCTTCTCTAAGCTATAAGCTCCTTGAGGGTAGGAATAGTGTCTTGTTCTATTTTTGTGTCCCTGTGCTTGGCACATTGCTTAATACAGAGTGGAAACTCAGTAAGTCTCTGATACACTGAATAAATACCAGATTTCAAACAGTTCCTTCTTGTAAGTCATGACCACAGCAGGCACTAAAGAATTTTCACTGAGTGAATGGCAAGCCTCCCCAACACCTCAAAATCAAACTTCTGAGGGTCACAATCCACCAACCACCCACTCCTCAGCTGTCAACACTCTAGTTCTTTGCCTCCACAGCCTCAAAGGCAGTCAACTCATCAATCATCTAACAAGTATCAGTTCCCTTGCCCACGTCCCTTGTCCTTCCACTACATGAGCCCTGCCAAATCTTGACTCGGGACGAATTCAACATTATTCCTTATCCACATGTATACTATGGCGGCTGCACCTTGACCAAAAGAAACTTGTCACCTTGCCAGTGATGTCAACTCTAGTAGGCCTTTACCAGTTCTTTTATTTCTCCCTGGTCAGTAGCATTTCCTAGACCCCACAGGTTTTCCAATCTCTCGACTTCCTCACTCCCACCAGATAAATTTGCCTATTGTTTCACAGAGAGAATAAGGATCAACTGGTCTGAACTCCCTCAATGTCTCTGCCTTTGGCCTCCTAATTAATCCTTATCTGTAAAATCCCCCACTTCCTTACTCTTGTCTCACAAGACGTCGAGAAGCAGGGGCAAGCGTGACAGAGTCCAGCGGCAGAGAAATGTTGGCAGCAGAACCAGGAAAATTTCGTTATAGATAAATTGGAAATTTCTCTCCCATGTTCCTGACTAGTGAGGGGAAAGAAGTCAGGATACAAAGACCAAAAAGAGTGTGGGAGATGAGAATGAACAGAAGTCAATGACTGCCTATTGAGAAATGTGGTGTTGAAAGGAAGTGGGGAAATGGGGAACTATGCATAGGAAAGAGATTGCAAATGCCGTGGAAAACCAATAATGAAAGGTGCCTGATGTCAGAGAAGAGTGTGGAGAGCAGACATGCCACAGCTAAAGACCTAGAAAAATCTTTCTTCTTCTCCAAGACAGGAAAAAGGATAAAAAGATACAGAAACAAATACTGGGAAACGACAGGGATAAAAGAAGGCAAGAAGAAGGAAGAAACTCACATTTATTGAGCACCTAAAACAGATTCAATAGTACACTGCAGAGGTTAAGTGCAAGTTTCAGATTTGGACAGCCTGGTTCTGAAACCTCAATTCTGCCACTTATAAGCTGTGAGATCCTGGGAAAGGTACTTAACCTCTTTAAGCCTCGGTGTCCTCATTTGTAGAATGGAGATAATAATAATACCCATCAAACAGTGATGTTATGTGGATTAAGTGAAATCATGCATGTGAAGCACTCAGCACAGTGCTTGAGTGAACTGATTTTATACGGCCATTCTAGCTATGGTCTTAAAACTCCAACGAAATGACTGGGTGGGACTATGCAAATAAGGTGCATGCAACACTTGCAGGGGTTGTTCTTGTTGTTGTTAGGTGCCCTCGAGTCCATTTCGACTCACAGCGACCCTGTGTACAACAGAATGAAACAATGTCCAGTTCAGCACCATTCTCACAATCGTTGTTATGCTTGAGACCATTGTTGCCACCACTGTGTCAATCAATCTAGTTCAGGGTCTTCCTCTTTTTCACTGACCCTTTACTTTACCAAGCATGATGTCCTTCTCCAGGGACTGATCCCTCCTGATAACACGTCCAAAGTACGTGAGACAAGTCTCGCCATCCTTGCTTCTAAGGAGCATTCCGGCTGTACTTCTTCCAAGACAGATTTGTTTGTTCTTTTGGCAGTCCATGGTATAGTCAATATTCTTCGCCAATACCATAATTTAAAGGCAGCATTTTTTCTTCACTCTTCCTTATTCCTTGTCCAGCTTTCGCGTCCATACGAGGCGACTGGAAACACCATGACTTGGGTCAGACACACCTTAGTCTTCAAGGTGACATCTTTGCTTTTCAACACTTTAAAGAGGTCTTTTACAGCAGATTTGGCCAGTGCAATGCATCTTTTGATTTCTTGACTGCTGCTTCCATGGGTGTTGATTGTGGATCCAAGTAAAATGAAATCCTTGACAACTTCAATCTTTTCTCCTTTTATCATGATGTTGCTTATTGGTCTGGTTATGGGGATTTTTGTCTTTTATGTTGAGGTGTAATCCATACTGAAGGCTTTGATCTTCATCAGTAAGTGCTTCAAGTCCTCTTCACTTTCAGCAAGCAAGGTTGTCTCATCTGCATATCACAGGTTGTTAATGAGTCTTCCTCCAACCCTGATGCCGAATTCTTTATATGGTCCAGCTTCTCGGATTATTGCTCAGCATACAGACTGAATAAGTATGGTGAAAGGATACAACCCTGACGCACACCCTTCCTGACTTTAACCCACACAGTATCACCTTGTTCTGTTCTAACGACTGCCTCCTGATCTATGTACAGGTTCCTCATGAGCACAATTAAGTGTTCTGGAATTCCGATTCTTCTCAAAGTTATCCACAGTTTGTTATGATCCATACAGTCGAATGTCTTTGCATAGTCAATAAAACACCGGTAAACATCTTTCTGGTATTCTCTGCTTTCAGCCAAGATCCATCTGACATCAGCAACGATAGCCCTCGTTCCATATCCTCTTCTAAATCTAACTTGAATTTCTGGTAGTTCCCTGTTGATGTACTGCTGCAGCCGCTTTTGAATGATCTTCAGCAAAATTTTACTTGTGTGTAATGTTAATGATGTTGTTCGACAACTTCCGCATCCGGTTGAATCACCCTTCTTGGGATTTGGCATAAATTGGATCTCTTCCAGTGGGCTGCCAGGTAGCTGTCTTCCAAATTTCTTGGCATAGACAAGTTAGCACTTCCAGTGCTGCATCTATTTATTGAAACATCTTAATTGGTATTCTGTCAATCCCTGGAGCCTTGTTTTTCATCAGTGCCTTCAGTGCAGCTTGGACTTCCTTCAGTACCATTGGTTCTTGATCATATGCTACCTCCCGAAATGGCTGAACATCACTAATTGTTTTTGGTACAGTGACTCTGTATATTCCTTCCATTTTCTTTTGATGCTTTCTACGTCGTTCAGTATGTTGCCCATAGGCTCCTTTAGTTTCGCAACTTGAGGCTTGAATTTTTACTTCAGTTCTCTTAGCTTGAGAAATGCCAAGCATGTTCTTCCCTTTTGGTTTTGTACCTCCAGGTCTTTGCATGTCATTATAATACTTTACTTTGTCTTCTCGAGCCGCCCTTTGAAATCTTCTGTTCAGCTCTTTCACTTCATCGTTTCTTCCTTTCGCTTTAGCTACTCGATGTTCAAGAGCAACTTTCAGAGTCTCTTCTGACATCCATTTTGGTCTTTTCTTTCTTTTTAATGATTTCTTGCTTTATTCATGTATGATGCCCTTGATGTCATCCCACTTGTCTGGTCTTCAGTAATTAGTGTTCAATGAGTCAAATCAGTTCTTGAGATGGTCTCTAAACTCAAGTGAGATATACTCAAGGTTGTACTTTGGCTCTCATAGACCTGTTCTAATCTTCTTCAGCTTCAACTTGAATTTGCATATGAGCAACTGATGGGTCTGTTCTGCAGTTGGTCCCTGGCCTTGTTCACTGATGATACTGAGCTTTTCCATTGTCTCTTCCCACAGATGTACTCGATTTAACTCCTGTGTATTCCATTCGGTGAGGTCCACATGCACAGTTGCCATTTATGTTGTTGAAAAAAGGTATTTGCAATGAAGAAGTCGTTGGTCTTGCAAAAGTCTATCATGCAATTTCTGGCATCATTTCTATCACCAAGGCCATATTTTCCAACTACCGATCCTTCTCTGTTTCCAACTTTCACATTCCAATCACCAAAACCAAAATCCAAACCCATTGCCATTGAGTTGATTCTGACTCATAGCAACTCTATACGACAGGGTAGAACTGTGCTATGGGGTTTCAAAGGAGTGGCTGGTGGATTCAAATTGCCAGCCTTTTGGTTACCAGCTGAGCTCTTAACCACTGCACCACCAGGACTACCCTAAAATTGTTTCCCAATCACCAGTAATTATCAATGCATCTTGACTGCATGTTTGATCAATTTCAGACTGCAGAAGTTGGTAAAAATCTTCAATTTCTTCATCTTTGGCCTTAGTAGTTGGTGTGTAAATTTGCATAATAGTTGTACTAATGGTGTTCGTTGCAGACATATGGATATTATCCTATCACTGACAGCGTTGTACTTCAGGATAGATTTTGAAATGTTCTTTTTGACAATGAAAGCGACACCATTCTTCTTCAATTTGTCATTCCCAGCATAGTAGCCATATGACTACTTGATTCAAAATGGGCAATATCCATCCATTTCAGCTCACTAACGCCTAGGATATCAATGTTTGTGTGTTCTATTTCATTTTTGACGATTTCCAATTTTCCTAGACTCATACTTTGTACATTCCATGTTTCAATTATTAATGGATGTTTGCAGCTGTTTCTTCTCATTAAGTCGTGCCACATCAGCAAATGAAGGTCCTGAAAGCTTGACTCCATCCACATCATTAAGGTCGACTCTACTCTGAGGAGGCAGCTCTTCCCTAGTCGTATCTTGAGTGCCTTCCAACCTGAGGGGCTCATTTTCCAGCGCTATATCACTATATCACTGTCAGTTTGTCGTACTATGGGGGCTTGAGTGTTGCTGTG